CGACGACGACGACCAATGCGGATGCCCCGATGGGGGAGGGGGTGCTGCGCAGGCCCGCTGTAGTCAACGACGACGATGATGACGACAACGACGACAGCGACGACGACGACGACAACAACGGCGACGACGACGACGACGACGACGACGACGGCGGCGGCGGCGTCGACAACGACGACGACGACGACGTCAACGACGACGACGAGGCCACCGACGACCGACGACGACGACGGCGACGACGACGACGGCGACGACGATGACAAGGATGGGAACGAGGACGAGGACGACGGACGAGGACGACAACGGCGGACAACGACGGCGACGACGTTGACGACGCACGACGGATGCCTTATGGCCTCCTGGGGGCGTGCTGCGTAGGTCCGCTGTGCTCAACGACGACAACGACATAGACGACGACGACGAAAACGACGACAACGACGAGGACGAGGTCGAGGGCGAGGGCGACGACGACGGACGGCGACGAGACGATGACGACGCACTGCGGATGTCCTGTGGGGGGCTGGTGCTGCGAAAGCTCCACGTACGCCCTAGGCGACGACGACGACGACGAGGACGACGCCACCGACGACGCCACCGACGACCGACGACGACGACGACGACGCACTGCAGATGACCCCTATGGGAGGGGGGGTGCTGCGTAGGGCCGCCCTACACCATCGACGACGACGACGACGACGACCTTGTTGACGACAACGACGACAACGACGAAGACGGCGACGGCAGAACAATTGACGGGGGGACAGAGGATTAAACAATCAGTTCTGGCGGCTGGAATTTTATTAGTCTTCCCAACTCCATTAATTTTCGGGGCCCGGGGGGGGGGGCATTTTTGAACCGCTTGCTCCAATTATATGTGTCTCGTCGTCCCTTTTCCAGTCCGCTCTCACGTTCGCACTATATTATTTTGCACTCGGACACTTCGGCATGCCCCTGGAGACGCTCGACATGAGTGCGGCTATTTACAGGGTGCGGCGGCTTGTAGTCAAAGAGGGCCCTATGGTATCGTCGCAAAGAGTTCAGAAAAACTGGAATAGCACAAGGATGCCCTCCGTCTCCACATCTCTTCATCATTGTTATGTCCGTGCTCCTAAAGGCCGCCGACGACAAACTGGAAATCAACCGCGACAGCTGCACAGGCAAACTGTGCACCATCACCAACGAAGTCCTGTACGCCGACGAACGATGCTCGTGGCTCAAGGTCATCGTTCCCGTCAGAAGTATTTCACGACTGTTGCGCAAGTTGGAAAATCCTTTGGTCTTGATCTGAACGCTGGGAAGACAGTGTTATTGAAAGTGCGATCAAATGATATTGTGCTTAAGCCAAGCGGTGAGACAATCAAGTGCGACGATCATGATGTGTACCTGGGGAGATGGTTGAGTGTAGACGGGAGGCCGCGAACCGAGCTCACGCGACCCATGGGGGAAGCGAAAAGAAAAGTTCAAACAATGATGCACGGTGCATGGACATGCGAACATGAGCCAGCAGCACAAATTGCGGGTGCTGGAAGCTTTCGCGCATTCTGAATCACTATATGGGCTCGAAAATTGCGTGTCGCTGAAGGCGGACAGGGATCGACTTGACAGCTTCCAAGCGATTTGTTTTGCGAAAGATCTTCAAGATAGCGCCAGCTCTTCTGTCTCGCGCCAGCAACGCTGATACGCGGGCGGCAGCGGAGGCATGCCCATTATCAGTTTGTTCATTGCAGCGCCCATTGAACTTCTACGGCAAGCTGGCAAGTAGACCGCCCGGCAGCCTGCCCAGAGCAATGTCGCTCGAAGGTGGACAAGACCAGGATGTTCTGCCCAGGGATTGGGGCACGCCGCGCCTCAGAGGACGCCCGCGCTTGCAGTGGAACGCCTACATACACGCCCACGCCCTGGCCATGACGGCAAGAAACAGCCCAGGACACATTGCAAGCCCTATTGCGTGGAACGCCGGAGCAATGGGAAGCAGCTGTCGTAGAACATTGCTTTCCATCGTGACTCTGCTCGAGTTCCCGCCCCTCTCCTCCTCCTCCTCCTCCTCCTCCTCCTCCTCCTCCTCCTCCTCCTCCTCCTCCTCCTCAACCTCCTCCTCCTCCTCCTCCTCCTCCTCCCGCGCACTGTGGCATACCCTCGCGCTTCGCTGGGCAAAGCATGCCCGCGGACGCTTCCGAGGCACTGCAGGGGCGCGCTTCGCACAAGTTTTCCATTTCGTTCCAATGCACGTGTGTTTCACCTGGCCATTCTTGCCGATGCGCCGTCCAGGCGCGGCTCTGTGTGTCTGAGTGTTTGTGAGTGTGTGAGTGTGTGTGTGCGTGTCTCATGGGAAGGGTTTCGGAAAGGGCTGCTGCGAGCACGTCAAACGCGAATAATCGAATAAGGAGAGGAGGCCATGAAATCGGGCACGGCGTGTGAGATCCCCGCCGCATGGTCTGCAAAGGCCCACTTCCCTCAGTCATCCTACATGCTCACCCCTATCCTTCCACAGAGTCCTTGAAACCCTGCCTAGGATCCCCCCTGCGGCCTGCTCGGACGGGTGGCCCAGGGGCCCCGGCTACGGACTGCCAAGTCCGCTCCTGGCCAGCCGCCGCTTAAACCTCGAGTCGTGCGCGCCTTCGCACAGGAAGGAGACCTCCGGACGGCCCCGGGCGCCGTGCGAGGGCTCTGCGGGGGCACTCCCGGGCAGTCGGTGGAGCCTCTTGGAGCCCTCTTGGGCTCCTTTGGCCCATCCCCAGAGCCCTCTGGGGCCGTCTCGGAGCCTTCCAAGGTGCTCTTCGACTCACGTGGAGCCGAAGACCCGAAGGTGCAGACCAAAGAGATGTTACCGATTTGGGCCGATCCGGGCTTCCCTTTGCGCCTCTTGCAGCTTTCTCGGAACCGCTTGTGGCAGGCTTGGGGCCTCCCCAGCCACGTTGGAATATCTCCAAGGGCTCTCGGGGCGTTCTGAAGGCCTCTCGGTCCCATCTTGGGCCGAATGGCCGCACCTGGCGAAGCCATCTCTTTACATCTCCGTATCCCTCTTCGGTTTTATCTGTAGTTTTCGGCACCTTTGGGTAGCCATTTGGATTATTTTCGGGGCCTCTTAGGAGTTGTCTTTGAGCCCTCTCGGGCAACTTTTGGCTGTTTGGGGGCGCTCTGGGGCTGTCTTGAAACCATCCTCTCGCCCTCTGATCATTTCAGTTGCCCTCCCCTTCCCCCACCAAGCCCCCCAGAGTCTCCACGCTCCCAATATGTGAGGCGGCGGTGACTGCCGCGTCAGGGGCGCTAAATTGAACAAGGGAAGAATGCCCTGAAATCAAAAGGGACCAGCCGCATGGCCTGCAAGGACTCACTCCCCTCACTGTCATCTTACCTTGGGCGCCCGAGTTATCCGGGGTAACTCGGGTCCGGGGTAACTCGGGTTTGGATTTCCGAAAAAGGAACCCGAGTTAGCCCTGACCCGAGTTACCCCTGATGATTCGGGGCTCTGGGCGCCCGAGTTATCCGGGGTAACTCGGGTCCGGGGTAACTCGGGTTTGGATTTCCGAAAAAGGAACCCGAGTTAGCCCTGACCCGAGTTACCCCTGATGATTCGGGGCTCTGATTACCTGCTCACTCCTCGTACCCCCCATCCTTCCAGAGAGCCCTTCCCCGGGTCCTCCCCGTACTATCCTTCCAGAGAGCCCCAGAGCCCCAGAGCCCCAGACCTCACTCCTTCCAGAGAGCCCTTCCCCGGGTCCTCCCCGTACTCCCCTTCCTCGTCGTGCCCCCTATCCTTCCAGAGAGCCCCAGAGCTCACTCCTCGTACCCCCCATCCTCCCAGAGAGCCCTCGAAGCCCTTCTCCGGGTCCTCCCCGCGGCCTGCACACTCGGCCGGCCCAGGGCCCCCGGGCTGCGGACGGGGCGTCCGCCGGCCGCCACTTCGGCCTCGGGTCACGCACGCCTTCGCACGGGACGCCTCTGGACGCCTCCGGGCGCCGTGCGATCTGGAGAGCACTCCTGGCCCATGGCCCCGGCCATGCTTGTCCTCCCCCCCCCCTCTTGGCCGCCCCCGCCCGACCTGCTGCCAGCCCGCTGTTTGGACTGCGCGCGCCCAGACAGGTGCGGGGCAGCGCCGGAGGGATCCGAGGGGAACGGCGAGCCCCCCAGGTGCGTGCAAAGGGGCCCAGGAAGGCACAAATCAATGGACCCAACATGCGGGATTCCCGATGAGTTTCGGTACGCTGTGGGTTCTCGTCCGCTTCACTTCCCGTACATGTGCATACAATTCCCTCTGGACATGGACTCTTATTTGTGTCTGTGTGTTGTTTTACCCTCTTGCGCGCGTTCTGCGTGGGGCAGGAGCTGCTCCTGCCCCTCTTCCTCCCCCTTCACTCTTCTGTTAATCATTCCTCGTGCTCTCCTCCCCCACCTGTTCGTTACTCATTCCAACGCCTGCTCCTCCAGCTCCTTCTCCGACTTCCTCCATCCTCATGCTCCTCATGAAGCTGCTGCTCCTCCATCCCGTCCTCCGTCCTCCCTCTCCCTCCTCCTCCTCCTCCTCCTCCTCCTCCTCCTCCTCCTCCTCCTCCTCCTCCTCCTCCTCCTCCTCTTTCTCCTCCTCCTCCTCTTTCTCCTCCTCCTCCTCCTCCTCCTCTTTCTCCTCCTCCTCCTCCTCCTCCTCCTCCTCCTCCTCCTCCTCTCCTCCTCCTCCTCCTCCTCCTCCTCCTCCTCCTCCTCCTCCTCCTCCTCCTCTCCTCCTCCTCCTCCTCCTGCAGCTGCGCCCTGCTCCATACCCCGCCCCTACTGCTGCTCCTCCTCCTGCTCCTCTCCTCCTCCTGACCCTCCTCCTCCTGCTCCTCCTCCTCCTCCTGCTCCTCCTCCTCCTCCTCTCCTTCTCCTCATCCTCCTCCTCCTCCTTCTCCCCCTCCCTTCCCCCTCCCCTCCTCCTTCTGGTGCCGACGCCGGCGCGGCCGGCGGCGTCGTCGTCGGCGTCGGCGCCGCCGCCGCCGCCGGCCGCGACCGAGGAGGGCGGAGCGGTCCTCCTGCGGGCGCCCGCGCGATGCTGCGCGGCGCCGCGGCGCCCTGCTCGTCGCGGGCGCCGCCCGCCGCCGCGGCCTCCGCGGTGCCCCGGCCGTCCTGGCGCGGCCCGACCGGCGGCTCCGCGGCCCACGGCCGCCCGCCGCCGCCGCTCGCCGGCTCCCACGGCCGCCCGCCGCCACGGGGCCGATCGCCGCCGGCCGCTCGCCGCCCGCCGGCCGCTGCTCGCGGCTCCCAGGAGCGACGCAGGTTGGGGGGAAGGAGTGAATGCGGCGGCTTTCGTTGCAGCCGTCGGCCGTGTGGCTGCCCGCGGGACTGGCAGTTGGGCTGGCCACGGGGCGGGCCAACGGGCTGGCCGTCAACAAGCGGGCCGTGGGGCTGGCAGCCGGCCAGGCAGTCGGGCTGGCAGTCGGGATGGCCGCGGGGCTGGTCGTCAGGCTGGCCTCTGGGGGCCCTTGCCAAGCCCTGGAACCGTCCACAAGAACGACTCGCGAAGCGGTCCCCCAGATGGGGTCGAGACTTCCATGGACTGGGGGCCCCGTGTTGACCAGAAACAGACGTCGGATCTCTGGCTTCGCCGCCGCGCCCGCCGCCCGCCGCCGCCGCAGCCGCCGCAGCCGGCACTGCCTGCGCCGCCAGGGTCGTCGCCCGCGTCGTCGTCGTCGCCGTCCGACCGTCGCCGTTCGTCGCTCGTCGTTTTGCGTCGTCGTCCGTCAATCATTGTCACCGTTCGCCGCGAGAAGGAAGGGGGGAGAACAAGAAAGAGGGTGAGGACCGATATTTCGAACGCGATTGGTCCTTTCGGGGCCTTTGGGGGCTTCTGGAGTCTTGTTCGCCCATTGCTTCTCCCTTCCTTTCCCCTTCCCCGCCTCCCACTCCTCCTACGCTCTCTTCCTTCTTCTCTTCTCCTTCCCTGTTCCTGCCGCGTTCCCCCTCTTCCTCTTCCTCCTCCTTCTCCTCCTCTTCCTCCTCCTCCTCCGTCTTCCTCCTCCTCCTCCTCCTCCTCCTCCTCCTCCTCCTCCTCATTATCCTCCTCCTCCTCCTCCTCCTCCTCCTCCTCCTCCATTCCACCTTCTTCCTACCGTTGTCGTCATTCCCCCCTCTTCCTGGTCAACCTCCACATCCTCCCACCTCCACTCCTTCACCTCAGCTCAGAGCTGTAGACTGTCCAGTCGATCTCCCTCTCCTCTTCCTCCTCCTCCTCCTCCTCCTCCTCCTCCTCCCTCCTCCTCCTCCTCCTCCTCCTCCTCCTCCTCCTCCGTCTCCTCCTCCTCCGTCTCCGTCTCCGTCTCCGTCTCCGTCTCCGTCTCCGCCTCCTCCTCCTCTATCCTCCAAATATCCTCCCCCTGCTCCGCCCTCTATTATATCCTCCTCCCCGTGCAACGTATTCGATCATAAGCACTGCTCGCAAGGACTGCTCGCAAGGACTGCCCCGCAAGCGTGGACATATCGGCATCGAGGCACGGCTGATGGTGGTCACACTGAAGTAGGTGCTTCCATGCGCGGCCCGCCTAAGCGGAACGGTGACCAGACCAACGTGGGCCATCAACTTCTGAAGCGCACCAAACGCCTCGGGAAGGCTACCACCACGACCCTGCAAGCTGCGGGGCCGAGTAGAAGAGAAATTAAACACGAGACCTCCTCCCCTGGATGTCACGTCGGTGGAGGCAGAACTGGTGGCATATCAGGCGAAGCGGGAGAGTGGCACCCATTCCCGTCTTGTGGTATCTGAGGCTTGAGTTATCGAGTAATCTCCCATTCGAGACATCTCATGGGGGGGGGGGTAATATGTCCACCGCACCTCCTGCTGCGACGCCGAGCAGTGGACGCCGTGGTGGCAGCGCGAAGGAAAGTTACGCAGAGGTGTCGAAGGGAAGGAAGAGGATAGAGGAGCGAGGACGTCTCTACAGCACGTATTTCTCTCCCCTGTTCTCTCTGCGAGGATCCAATCTTGAAAAACACGCGGTGGGACATCTTGCCAGGGCGGTTGGCAAGGGCAGCGGCGGTTGGTTGGCCGCCCGACAGGGTGGCGATACACACGGTCGGGGACTTTTGCTCAGCGGTCGTGGCGGTGGCCCCGGCGACACGCAATGCCTTGCGAGCTGACAGCGTGTCGCTCCGCCTCGCGGGACAGGAGGCTCGAGAGAAGCTCGAGGCATCAACGCTCGGGGGCCGGGACGTGGCTCGCGCGTCAGACCGCGGCGCGGTGGGCGAGAACCGGCGGCGCGACGCGCTGACCCAAAAATTCGGGACCGCATTCTGCCATTGCCGCCGTGGAACTCTCTCCTCGAATCATCACCACGCGCGTGGTTCCCGCGGAGAGCCCCGGACGGCGCTGGTGTCCCAGACGTCCGCGCCAGCCGATGTCGATCCGACCCTCCTCCTCCCGCGGGCGGCAGGGCGCGGTCTGTCGCGCGACCGCGCCGCACCGCCACCCCCGGATGTTCTCCAGCACAGCGAGAGAAGTGTGGAGCTTCTTCACCACCTTCCCGCTCCCCCTCCTAACCCTCCCCCTCCTCCTCCTCCTCCTCCTCCTCCTCCTCCTCCTCGAACTCCTCCTCCTCCGCCTCCTCCTCCTCCTCCAACTCCTCCTCCTCCTCCTCCTCCTCCTGCTGCTCCTCCTCCTCCTCCTCCTCCTCCTCCTCCTCTTCTCCTCCTCCTCCTCCTCCTCCTCCTCCTCCTCCTCCTCCTCCTCCTCCTCCCCCTCCTGCGCGCCAAAGGGGTGGCTTTCACCCTCGACTACCGCGCCCGCGCCCACGCACGAACGCGATGATCACGTGGCACTGCGAGGCAACGAGGTATAGCGCAGCGGCAGCAGCGGCATCGCGCCCCATCTCCCTCGTCAGCCTCCCCCCCTCCTCCTGCTGCTCCTCCTCCCCCCTTTTCTCCTCCTCCTCTTCCTCCTCCTGCTCCTCCTCATCCTCCCCTTCCTCTTGCTCCACCTCCACCTCCTCCTCCTCCTCCTCCTCCTCCTCCCTCCTCCTCCTCCTCCTCCTCCTCCTCCTCCTCCTCCTCCTCCTCCCCTTCGCTTCCCCACCACCCCCGCCGGCGACGGCGACGGCGACGGCGACGGCAACGGCAACGGCGACGGCAACGGCAACGGCGACGGCGACGGCAACGACGACGACACGACGGCGACGGCGACGGCGACGGCGACGGCGACGGCGACGGCGACGGCGACGGCGACTTCGACGGCGACGGCGACGGCGACGGCGGCGACGGCGACGGCGACGGCGACGGCGACGGCTACGGCGACAGCGACGACGACGACGACGACGACGACAACAGGGGCCGCCGCCGCCGCCGCCGCCGCCGCCGCCGACGACGACGACGACGACGACGAAGACGACGACGGGGGCAGCCGACGACGACGCGACGACGACGACGACGACGAAAACGGGAACTCCTCTGCCTTCCCCGCCGCGGGGGCCGGCGAGTTCGGACTGGCCGCTGCCAGGGGCTCGTCTACCGAGCGCGGGGTGTCGAGCCCCGCCAGCTGCTCGAGGTCGCCGGCGGCCTGAGCCTCGAGGGTGAGGAGGGGAAGCGAGGTAGACGAGGGCGAGGCAGGGAGTGGGAGAGAAGGGGGAGGCAGGCGGGGAGTAGCGGCGAGAAGCGAGGAGCCAGATAGAGAGGGAGGTGGGAGAGGAGAAGGAGGAGGGGGCTTCATTTGCCTCAACATCCCTCCTCCTCCTCCCTCCTCCTCCTCCTCCTCCTCCTCCTCCTCCTCCTCCTCCCTCCTCCCTCCTCCTCCTCCTCCTCCTCCTGCTCATTCTCCTCCTCCTCCTCCTCCTCCTCCTCCTCCTCTTCGCCTCCTCCTCCTCCTCCTCCTCCTCCTCCTCCTCCTCCTCCTCCCCCTTCCCCTCCTGCCTCATCCTTCCTCCTCCCTCATCACTCTCGTCTCTCTCGTCCTCCTCGCCGTCGCTCCTCATTCGTCCTCCTTCCTCTCACCTCATCATCCCTACTCTTCCGTCTATCCTCCTCCCCCTCCTCCTCCTGCTCCTGCTCCTGCTCCTGCTCCTGCTCCTCCTCCTCCTCCTCCTCCTCCTCCTCCTCCTCCTCCTCCCACCCCTTTGGTACATGAATCCTCCGCGCCTTTCCACGAGACATGCCGTTAGTTATGTCGGGCCGAGCGTTACACCAGAGGCTTCCCCCATGCCTGGGATCGTGAAGCTTGAAGTGTGGAGCAGCTACACGAATGGAGGGCAATCCTTTTCAAGCTTGGTCTTCGCTGTGACGCCGCGCCCATTCGTTTTAACGTCGTGCGCCGGGTGCGCGAGTGGAGGTCGGTTAAGTTTCGGCGAAGGGTTCTAGCTTGGGACGTACTCCTAGCTCATGGCCAGAAGTTCACGGGAGCGTGGTTGCAGCATCATTGACGCATCCTGGGTTTCCTCTGGTCCTCCTCCCCCTCCTCCTGGAACCTCCTCCTCCGCGCGAGGGAAAGGATGAGGGGAGGGGGGAGGGGGAAGAAGGGGAGAGGGGGAGGATGAGGAGAAGGAGGAGGAGGAGGAGGAGGAGGAGCAAGACAACGACGAAGCAGACGATGGGTGTGGATATGGTTGTGATGTGATGATGGCGAGTACGGTGATGGCGGCTGCTGATGGTGATACGGAGACGACCAGAATGAGCTGTTTGGGGTGTGGGTTAAGGTTTTAAGGGTTTAGGGCTTAGGATGTCGCGTTTAGGGCCTCGGTGGCGGAAGCAGCTGTACCCCCCTCCGTACATAGGTGAGGGGGTCGGCTGCTCTTCGTTCCCGTTCCCGCTCCCCGCCCAAAAGCCCCCCTCTGAATTTAGGGCTGATCAACACCATTCCTTCCTCCCCCCCTCGCATGGGGGGAAGTTCCACACTGGCAGCCATGCGCGTCGGGCATCAGACCTCGGTCCATTTGCCCCCCTTCGCCCCCCTTCGCATGGGTGGCAGTTCGTTGCCAGACATGTCCGCGCGCATGTCGAAGGATTGTGTGCTGACTTGCCTGCGCGGGCAGGTCTGTGAGTTGTGTTTGTCATGCCTGCGTGCGCGAGTATAACCAAGCGCTCCCAAGCGTTGCCCCGGGTGCTCGCAGGTGCTCCAAGGCGCTCTCCGGCGCTCCCAAGCATCCCCAAACGTTTTCAAGCGCCCCCGCGGTGTGCCCAGGCGCTCCCAAGCGCTCCCAGGCAGTTCCATGCGCTCCCAGGCGCCCCCAAACACTCTCAAGCGCTCCCAAGCGCTCCCAGGCGCCTCTGAGCGGCCCAGGCGCTCCCATGCGTTCCCGCTAATTCTTCCAAGCGCTCCAGGCGCTCCCGGGCGCTCCCGGCTCCTGTGGAAAGTTGATGGCAGGCGCTCCCAGGACGCTCCCAGGTCTTCCAGGCGCTCCAGATCACCCCCAGGCGCTCCCAAGCGCTCCCCAGGCGCTCTCGGAGCGGACGCTGGCAAAGCTCTTAGGCGCTCCCAGGTGCTCTCAAGCGCTCCCAGGCGCTTCCAGGGCGCTCCGAAGCTCCCGGGCGCCCCCAAGCGCTCCCATGACGCTCCGAGGCGCTCCCCAAGCATTCCCAAACGCTCCCAAGCGCTTTCTAGGCGCTCCCAGGCGCCCTCAAGCGCTTCCCCCTGCGCTCCGAAGCGCTCCCAGACGTTCCCAAGCGCTCCCAATCGTTCCCAAGCGCTCCGCACGCGCTCCGCACGCGCTCCGCACGCGCTGACTGCGCCCCCAGGCGCCTGCCAGACGCTCCCGAGGCGCTCCCGAGGCGCTCCCAGGCGCTCCCGGGCGCTCCCCACGCGCTGCATGCCCTTCTCGAAGGTCTCGCCCATCCTGGGGGGGCCAGGGGCCCGCGTGGGCAAAAAGGACATCAGGCTGAGGCTCCTTCTGTCCTTCGACCGCGCAGCACGAGCGTCGGCCCGAGATTTCTGTCCGTGGGCTCGGCCGGCGCTCGCCCCTCGCCAGGGGGGGGGAGCCTTCGAGGTTCGGCAGCGTGGGCCTCCGAGGGCCCGCGCCTCGGGTCAGCGTTTGGGTTCCGGGGAAGGCGGGGTGGAGAAGCGGGGTGGAGAAGGGGAGGATGGGGAAGCGAGGTGGAGAAGGGGAGGGAAGCGGGGTGGAGAAGCGGGGGGCGGGATGGGGAAGCGGGGTGGAGAAGGGGAGGCGGCGGGCAGAAGGGAGGACGAGGGGGCAGAGCTGTGGGGGGAGGAAGAGAAGAGGCGCCGAGGCGGCCTCGCCGCTCGGCGCCGCTCTCGTCTCGGCCGCGAGGCCGACGGCGTCCTTGAACGAGCACTTCCGCCCCATCATCACGGGGAGGATGTCCTGTCTCGTGCCGCGCAGTCTGGGAAGGAGAGGGAAGACAGCGGAGGGGAATGAAGCACGACGAACCTCTGCAGTGCCGAATGCACAAACCTGCGATGGCCCCAGACTCGGGACTCGGGCAGAGGGGATCAGGGGGAGGATGTCCTGCACGGAGCGGCGTCAGCACTGAGGGAAGGACAGGCAGGGAGGAAAAAGTCACAGATCCTGGCGTCGCAGACTTATTTCACACCTGGCGATGTTTCGCACGGGTTCGGGCACCAGGAGTAATCCCACCAGCCCTCTGGGCGCAAGTGGTCTAACGATTTCTTCCTTGCCTCTTCCAAGAAACCTTTTTTTTCCCCTTCGGGGAGGGGTTTATCAATGTTCCTTATTAATATGCACTCCCTCCCCTGGCCGTCCGTCGGCCAACCCGGAACCATGCCAACCCCATGAGGGCCACCACACAACCATCCCTGCTCAAAGCCATACAAAACGCACTCCACCTCCACATTTGGAGCATGCGCGGTCAACCCGATGCGCCCCCCCCACCCCACACCATCCCTGCCAAAAGACAACACAAGGTACACTGTGGGGCCAAGTCTTCAGTCATGTTCGTGAGGTCCACGAGCATGTTGTATTGTTTTTTGTGTACCATGACGGCGGGGGTGTCAGCATATTGACTGCTGTGCGCAGGGATACCATCCCTGACAAAAAAAACTACAGCATGCACCTCGCGGCTAATTCTGAACCATGTGCGGCCACCCCGCGATCACTGTCAAGTGGCTTTTGACAGGGACGGCGGGGGTGGTGGCGCGTGGCCTGCTGTGCGCAGACCCACCTGACGCAATGATGGGCATTGGTTTTCGAAAAGGATGGTGGGGGCCGACATGTTTCCCGATGTGTGCTGTCACGTGCGCAGGCGCACCTGACGCACTCTGCACGTGCCCCGAGCATGGCGCACCTGGCGCCGCTGGAGTGTGCGGCACTCCTCGCGCACTCGGAGCACGTGGCGCATCTGGCGCACCAGGCGTGCACGCTCGGGCCCCAGGGGTGCCTGGCGCGCGTGGCGCCCCTGGCACGCGTGGCGCACCTCGCCTAAGCGACGCGCACCCGGGGTCGGCTTTGGCTCCCAGTAGCTGTCCATCCAAAGACGACCGCTCAACATGCTCAGGCTGGGGTGTTGCTCATGTGTTGGGAGGGCGGGTGGGAGTGAGCTAGACGGCTTGCGGGCGGGTGGGTAGCTTGACCCCTGCCCCTACCCCCTCACCTGGACCTGGACGGGGGTTTCGCAAGCTATCAGAGGGTCCCTTTTCGCCCAAGGTGGCTCCAAGAGAGCCTCAGAGAGCCCAAGATAGCCTCCAAGATCGTTCAAACCAGCCCACCATGGCTCAAGATGGCTAACAACATGCCTCCAAGAGGCCCCAAGAGGGCCACAAGCCGGCTCCACGACCCCTCAGGGCCTCCTCGAGAAGCCAAAATCCTTAAAAAACCTAAGGACAATCACTGACTGTTGCCATCTCGCCTTTTTGCTTCCGATGCGCTTTTGAAGCCTCGAGATGGCCATACGATGGCCCAAGAGAGCTCCAAGAAGGGCCCAAGAGGCCCCCATGACTGCCCACGAGCGCCCAAGATCGTCCCAAGAGGGCCCCAAGAGCGCCCCGAGAGCTATTTCGATGACCCCGGATGGGGGGAGAATCGAGGACCCCCCCTCATTCGATTAATGGTCCCCAAGATGGCCCCAGGAGGCGCTCCATAGCTCCCAAGAGGGCCCCAAGAGAGCCCCAAGAGAGCCACATGAGGGCCCCATGAGGGCCAAAAGAGCCCCCAAAGGACCCCAAGACCACCCAAAGAGCCCCAAGAGGGCCCCAAGATGCCCCAAAAGAGCTCTGGGCCCTGGGGATGGCCCGAAGAGGCCCTCCAAGGCCACCCCTTTGCTCCCTGAGATCTTGCTTGTTCACCCTGGTTGCCCGCTTTGCTTCACTACATGTGTCTCTTCGTCCCTTTTCCCACCATCTCTGATGGGCAGACCTCCTGAATGGGCTGGTGGGGATTCGCGAAGCGTAAACAACCTAAGCAACAAGCAAGACAGGAACACACACATTTTGTCGAGGTAGACCCTGCCGCCTCCTCCTGCCGCCTCCTCTCCTCCTCCACTCCCTCCCTCCCCTCCCCTCCCCTCCCCTCCCCTCCCCTCCCCTCCCTTCCCCTCCCATCCTTCCCTCCCTCCCGCACCTTTTCCCTCATCTCCCCCTGCATGCTCCTCCTCCCTCCTCCTCCTCCTCCTCCTCCTCCTCCTCCTCCTCCTCCTCCTCCTGCTGCTCCTCCTCTGCTTCTCCTCCTCCTCCTCCTCCTCCTGCTGCCTCCTCCTCCTCCTGCTGCCTCCTCATGCTGCTCCTCCTCCTCCTCCTCCTCCCCTCCCTCCCTCCCCTCCCCTCCCCTCCCCTCCCTTCACCTCCACCCCTCCCTCCCTCCCGCACCGTTTCTCTCATCTCCCCTCTGGCCTCCTCCTCCTCCTCCTCCTCCTCCTCCTCCTCCTCCTCCTCCTCCTCCTCCTCCTCCTCCTCCTCCTCCTCCTCCTCCTCCTCCTCCTCCTGAGCTGTCAGCAGTAGGGGAGGGGTTGCTGGCGAGGCGCACGAGCAGCAGCGGACGGGCGAGCAAGCGGGGGAGGAAGGGCCAGGCACAATGAGGCTAGAGTAGCAGGATGCAGGAGGCAGAGGAAGAGAACGAGCGGGGGGGGAGGCCAGGAGGAGGAAGGCGGAAGCAGGAGGATGCAGGGGAAGGCAGTCGGAAACAGAGGCAGGAATTCCGGAGGAGGCAGAAAGGCAGACAGGGAGACATAGGAGGAGGCAAAGGAGGAGGAGGAGGAGGAGGAGGAGGAGAAACATCAATAGGAATAGGAGCGCGGAAGCGGGGGGGGGGGGGCGCCGGGGGCAGATAGGATGAGGCAGGCAGGAGGCAGGCAGGAGGCAGGCAGTTGGCAGGCGGGAGAGCGCAGAAGAAAGAGCTGGGATGAGGCAGAAGGAGGAGGAGGAGGAGCCAGGCAGAAGGAGGGTGCTCAAGAAGATAGAGCCAGGAAGAGGCAGGATGAGGAGGAGGAGGATGCAGGATGAAGAGGATGGGAACAAGGGTGGGACGGGTAACTCTGATGCAAAGGGAGACAGGTGGCCAGGAGGAGACATGAGGAGGAGGCATGAGGAGGCAGGAAGAGGCATGATGAGACAAAAGAAGGATGATGCAAGAGGATGATGATCATGCGGAGGAGGAGGAGGAGGAGAAGGAGAGGGAGGAGGAGGAGGAGGAGGAGGAGGAGGAGGAGGAGGAAAAGGAGGAGGAGGAGGAAGAGAAGGAGGCGGAACGGGTCAATCCGCCGATTCGGCGTGTGAGTTGACAAAAGCTGCAGCCTGAGCTTCCACTCTGCTGGAGGGGTGGGGGGGGGGGGGCAAGGGGTGCTCTGCCTGGGAAAGGGGGGAGGGCGGGTGTTCAATTTCCGGGAGGCCCCGAGACGGCCCCAAGAGGGGGAAAATGAACCGACGATTCGAGCCTTCCGCCCCAGGAGGCCCCCAGGAAGCCCAAAGAGGCTCCCGAGAGGCCCCAAGGAAGGGGCTCCCCAAAGTCCCCCAAGAGGCACCAAAAGGCCCCCAAGAGGCCCTAAAACGGCCCCCAAGAGGATTCACAAATGCCTCCAAGAGTCCCTCGAGAAGCTTCCAACGAGATCCCAACGAACCTCCAAAAAGCGTCGGACCCATAACCCAGGCACGGTAGCGTTTTAGGCCGAAGGCAACTAGATAAACGAAGATAGAAACGATGGGAAAGAGCAATGTATTATGAAATGTTCACGCTACGACTCGCCCAACCACCCACCAACGAACCAACCCGTCCGGGAACTAGCCCGCCAACAAGCTCGACAGACGGACACGAGGCAAACAGTCCATCCAACACATACTGCCTCAGGCAACTGCAAACACCCTCCTCCTACTCCTCCTCCTCCTCCTCCTCCTCCTCCTCATCCTGCTCCTTTTCCCCTCCTACTCCTCTTCCTCCTCCGCCGCCTCCCTCCTCATCCTCCCGCCTGCCCCCTGGAAATAAAGCTCACAAGAAATAAGACATGGCGAGTTCGCACGGAGCGTCTTGGAGCGTTCCAGATCGGCGGCACAAGACGGAGGCCTCTACAATTTCTGATAAGGGGGAGGAAAACGGAAGCAGGAGGAGGCAGGTGGAGGCAGGAGGGGCGCCAGGAGAAGGTAGAGCCAGCAGGAAGAGGCGGGAGGAGCCAGGAAGAGCCAGGAGAAGGAGGCAGGAGGACGGGGAACAAGGGAGGGAGGAGGTGCGCGGAAGCACGAGGAGGCAGGAGGGAGAGGAGGAGGCAGGGCGGAGGCAGGCCCAGGCAGGAGGAGGCAGAAGGAGGGAGGAGGAGGCATGTGGAGGCAGGAGAGGGTGGAGCCAGGCGGAGGCCGGAGGCGCCAGGCAGGAGAGGAGGGCGGCGGGAACGGGCGGTGGAGGACGGGGGAGCACGAGGAGGGCGAGGTGTGGCGGCAGGCACGCCACTCGTGCACCACGCCAGGGCATCCGGGAGAACTCGGTCCGCTGGCCACTCCTCCGTCCCAACTCGTGTGCCGTCCCGCTCCTCCTGCCTCTGCGGCTCCTCCTCCTCCTCCTCCCCATCCTCCTCCGACTCCTCGGGGCTCGGAACCGTTCACCGCGTTTGGCACTGCTGGCGGCTCCGCAGGGCCCCCCGGGGACCTCCGGAGGCCCCCCCGGGACCCGCGGGCGGAGAGCGGGGGCTCGAGCTCCTGCTCGTCCTCCAGCTCCCGCGCCCCGCGCCGAGCGGCGGCGGGCGGGGAGGGGGAAGGAAGAGGAGAAGGCCTTCTCAGAAGGCGGCGGGCCTTCTCCGACGCCCCCTGGCCTTCTGAGAATGCTTCTGTGTCTTGTCCTCCTCGTGCTTCCGCGTGCGGAGAAGGAGCACGAGGACGAGGAGCACGAGGAGGGCGAGGACGGGGGACCACGAG